GCCGTCAGCAGCCCTCTGTGTACAGGCTGTGTGTATGCTGCATGGACAGAGGGGCCATGGCCAAGGCTGTCCTTGTCTCCAAAAAGCTGGATGGCGCCAGGAGTGAAACCCGCAGGCTCCAGGCTCCCCTGGCCACTGCTTCATGCAAGGGGCAAACCGCATTTCTGCTCTCAGCTGCTCAGGCCAGCAGAAATGAAGAACCAGAGCTCAGTTTTGCTGATTGCCTGTCTGTGCCCTCAGAACTGGAACAGAACAGACGTTTTCTTCTCTGAGATGAATACTCCGTGTTTTTCCTATTGAAGCTAGACCAGTTACAGCTCGAGTATACTAAACAAATGCAGCAACTTGGTACAAAGTTTATACCAATCAAATCAAATTGCTAAAGTATCAAACACTGCACAACGAGGAAAATACTTGGTTTGGAGTATTATCAAAAAAGTGAAACGGGAAAAAGTACTACAGAGCTGTGATAGCTTAAAATTGCCATTTTCTCTGAATGAAGCCTTAGAGACGCACAACTAGCATCGCTAGCACTGTTCTCCACCTCCACCAACATGTCATTTTTAGGAATAAGTGAGGTTAAAAATAGTGTAAGAGAAAGATTCTGACATTTTTGCATTGTAAATTAAACTAAACTTTTCATAGAAGTTAACGGAAAAGAAAGAAAACTTTTAAAGGAAGTTGGTTTGTCATCACAGCTAATAGCCTTACCAAGCGTCCCAAGCTTAGACAATACTGCAATCATAGCGAAGAGCTTTTCTGCTCGATCACAATTTGGAAATACATAGGCTTTAGCAAGAATAATAATGCTCTTTCACACAACCATGTCAGAGCTCCTCGTAAACACTAATTCCCTAAGCTTTCATTTACTCTGCCTCTGAGGTATGTAATTACCATCAGCCATCTTTATTTATAGGCCACATTGTGCTAGGACTGACTGCCTTGCAATTGGAACACAGTGTGGTTCACACTGTATTTGGATAAGGTACTGAAAACATCCTACATTTTACAGGTAAGAACTGACACAAAATAATTCATAAGTAAAGGACTGGCACCTTCCCTCATTCAGTCCTGTATCTCGGCCCTCCCCACCCAAAAATATAAAAATAGTATTCCCTGACGGGTGTTGACTTCAAGAATCACTAAATTCTTTTACCCAGTATTGATGAGGTCTACCACGTTGGGTCTGGTTCTTGCTTTATTTGAGAATTTTCTTCTGTTTCTGTAATATCTGTTGAAAAAGCAGTAATGAATGAAGGAAAAAGGGAACTTCCCAACCAATTTTGTTGTTACTGTTGTGCATAGTAAATAAAAAATTATGAAAATATGAAAAGCATTAATTTGTCTTTCTAAACTATTAATGATAAATAAAAAAGTATTCACAACAATCTGGTTCTGTGGAAATTACCGCCTTCACTTCAATGTAAAGCAGCCTGGGATCTTAAGAGAACTCTAGTTTTTAAAGAGCAGAAACAAAAATTGGTATTAGAAGCACATGAAACTTAAAAATGCTTTTTATGTAGCTGAAATACTCACTGGGCCAGAAAGGCACTTAATCCAAAAAGCAAACAACATATGATCAGCAAGAAAATGTCAGAAATATCACTGTTTGTCTGCATCCTGCTCTTCCATCCTTCTCCCTCCTCTTTGTCAATCCCCAGCACAATTCCTTCCTTCAACCACCTCATCAGATATGTGATGCTGGGTGAAGCTTCTCAAACACCTCAGGTAAGTCTGTAGCTCATGACTTCAAACACATCAGGCACGATCACTGTTTCACATTTAAAATGCCATCTTCCAAAGCTAGGCAACAACATCTGAGCCTGCTTGTGCTCAAGTCATGCCTTCTCGGTTACTTATTAAATTAACATTATCTGTGCAAACTCTTGTTTTTACAGCACTGACTATTTTTCAGATGTCTTTTCCATCTGTAGGACTGCTTCTCTTCTCAACTAGATAGAGACTTCTGCATTATTGCATTTCAATCTGTCCAAACCAAATTTTGACCCTAGCTAATTTTTCTTCTGCAATGCGGTATCACATAGGAAGGCATTATGATATGCTTAAAGAGAGGAAGAAATTTTATCTTGTTGGCTAAAGCATTCATCATCTTTTGATACATCTTTTTTTCATTTCCAGGAGACTTAATTACAAAATCCTTGCTTTTTCTTGTTCACAGGGATGCTTGGAGGTAAATCAAAGAAATCTTGTGCCTGTGTAGCACTGCCTATATGACCTGGAGCTTGATTTTGTTCTTTTTATAAGCAGAGAATATGATGCTGTAAGAAAATTGGTTTTTCACTGAAGTTGTTTGGAAGGTTTGGAGCAATTCATCACTACAAAGCCAAAGCCATCTCACCACATGGTCATTTTACACCTTCCAGCCTAGTTCTGAAGCAATTTTGAGTTCTTTAGCAATTGCATGCCTTTTGTCAAGACCATTCCTCTGGTTACTGGGTCTGAATCCAGTTTGGGATGACAAATTCAAAACCACGCTTGTCTATTGCTTCAAAACCACCACTCTGAAGGCCCATAGCTAGATTTACTCCACATTCAGGAACAAGTGTCTCTCTCCTCCATCATCTAACAATTTCAGTGATCCCACATAGTTTTAGCGTTACAAAGCCATCTGATGTTCCAGCTTGCAATAACTGTGAGCTTAAAATCTGCAGCTCAGCTCTTCTGTGACTAAAGCTTGCCTTCTTTGTGTCTCGATTGCTGCGAGAGGACTGATCTATACAGTGACATGACAGAGGAACTGAAGCAACGGAGACTAAAAAGGGCATTTCCATGGAAAAGGATACAGAATGGGAGTGCTGAGATCTGCTGCTTTCTCTTTTGGGGGAACCTAAGCAGGATTAGGGAATGAACGCAAGCTGAGAGTTTTAAGACGACAAGCGCTGATGCACAACAGCCTCCATCCCAGTGCTGCTGGCTGTGTTGCTGTCGAGCTGCTACATCACAGAGCCCCTCTCAGGACTATCTGGCATGAAGGCAGCACCCCATCAAACCATCACAGCCCCTCGCATCCCCCATGCCAGCCACGCCAGAGGCACCCACGGCTGTCCAGGGTCATGCTGACAAGCTGGGGCTACAGCAAACGCAGCATTGACAGGACCAGAGCACCCAGCAGACACCAGCGCCCCAGTTCTCAGGTCAGTTCAGTATTCCTAGTGCTCCAAGACCATATGTAAAAGCACAGGGTGGGCAGATGATCTACAGCCTCTTTGGTCTTACATATATCCACATCTAAAAAGATATTACTCAAGTATATTCTTGGACAATAGGAAAGTTGGGTGTTTTTCAGAGCTTAAGTTCTGGAAGAACAACAATATTCCCCCTCCCCTACACAATATATTCAGGCCAATATGGCATTCAAATTTCCTGATGATGGCAATCATTCACTTGCATAAATTGTGGAGACTACTGCATTGAATAACTAGATGCATCACTCAGGATATGAGCAATCACTCAAAGCCTATATATAGTCATGACTCACCAATGAAGAACAACAATTCATAAAACTCCTTTGCAAAATTATTTGAATAATAACTTTTGCTGCAGAGTATGTTTCACATGATGCAACATGATATTAATACAGATGAAAAAATGCCCTGGGAACCAATAAAAGCCCTTTTTTTTGTTTTGATTGACCTGTCTCCTGTAAAAAAAGATGCAACTTTATTCAAAATTACTTTAAAATATTTGTTGATAATAACTGAAGACAAACACTTACCTCCTACAGATACTTCTATTTGGCTTGGTTCAGCTGGCTCTTAAATGAAAAAAATAGTCAAATGAATATGAATATAGTTTCAACCATATGAATCAGATAAGTATCTTAGAAAAATTAGGGAAATTAAGTTTTCCCTGAAAAAAAGCGCCTCATTTTTTTGCTGTTATGATCAGACTCAAATATCTTTGAGATAAATGCCTGTAACTTCTATAGAGTCTGCAGCAAAATGTAAAAAAATACCCAAACATTTATTATGTTACACTACCAGACACTTTCTCTTGAGTACGGTTCACTGCAGCAGACACATCACCAAGTCCTAGCAGAACATAACATGCACTTGCACAGAATATACCGAGTTTGGAACAGCTTTACTCAATCCACTTAAATATAAAACAATATTTAAAAAAAAGAAAGTCATCGCTTCTGGTTAGTATTGTCTTCAATGACAAGTATGTGTATTTTCGGGGAGCGTGTGAAGGTGCAGAATAGAGGGCAAACAGTATGTTTTAATTCCCTAATGATTTTTCTGTGCTGACGGATTATAGACAGACAGGTGCCGGGAAAGCCACTTAACCTTTTCAACACCACGGGTGAGTTAAGGACAATGGACTACAAGTTCACTGACCATCAGCAGCTGTCTTCCTCCCTCCCACCACCTCCAAATGGAAACAGAGGAGCCAGTAGTTTCCTTTATAATTATTTCCACCACACAAGTGTCCTTTACTCTTAAAATGTTCATGGAATGTTTTCTCAGTTTCCCAGTTTCTTTGAGTAAGAGTTTATTCAGTCAATTGCAAAAGTCTTTCCTGCACCACACCAACTTGGGATACACATTTTTAAAACACCTCCGAACATTTAGAAACTATATTGGGTCACAAGGAAGTTGCTCAACTACATTTACTTCAGCTATTCATAGCATAAAGTGAAGTTCTCCATTCAGACTAAGACAAGCGATGTGTGGGCAGTCTAGGCACAGTCTAGCAGGGGTTACAGAGCTGTGCAGTGGGCAGAAATTCCATCAAGACCCCATTCTAGGTTCTTACATGTTACACAGGCAAACTTCACTTGGCTGACCATCTATCTGGTGCAGACACACACATACTTTGAGCTAAGCAGACATCAATAAACGGATACTGAATTGGCTTTATGTATTGCCCCTACTACCTTCTTTTCAGCTCACTCATCTGCAAAAATCAAATCAAGGAACACACCAATGACACAGCTTGAGGGAAGTGATGGCTCTTTCTATTAGTTTATTAATATTTGATTGCTATAAAAGTCACCGTCGCACACCATCTGTCAAAATAAAATGGCTCATCATGAGCAGCATGTACTCAGGACATGACTACTAATATAATCTGCCAATAAGACCAAGAACTCCATACCCTACCCCTTGTGCAAGGACATATGTCATGCTCTGCATCACCTGGTAGTACTGGTGCTGCTGCTGGTGCTGTTGGTGGTGCTTCTGCTTCAGCTTTTTCCATCAGCTCTAAGATTAGACATGATCACTGTTTAACTTCACAATGAAAACGGTCCACATGTAACACAAGGGCAATCTTACTTCTTGAATCTGCAAATCCTGAAACTTGTCGCGTGAATAGGTTACGACACTTGTGATTGAGCTGCACTTCAATATTTTTTCTAACACAAAATACTTGCCCTACCTTGCCTGCAAGCACCAAAAATTTCCTTTTAAGTTCCCACATGTTCTTCAGAAGAACAAAGCATCATTAAGCAGTAGGCTCACAGCTTTTCAGTCATTCACCTTGGTATCTATCAATATCAATCATTTTGATCATAATTAATGGACACGGATAACGCACAAACCCTACGTGTTCAATGACCAATCTGCTCCTCCAGTGATGGAAGATGACTGGATATCTGTGCTGTTCTTGGCATACCAGCTAGCATCAGCCCCAACACAGCCTGACGGTCATGCTGAACAGACAACAGTTTAACAGATTCTTCCCTTTCTAATTCTCTGGAAATGCTATTACACACCGAGCTGCCTAGAAGGCTCCCTCTTACAGAGGTATCTCTTTCGCACCTGAGGTGTGCCTAGGACTGGTGAGCAGGTCAGTGTGAGTTATAGCTATAATATCTTCCTGAGAACACTTCATACTTGGCAGTTCATAGACCTCAGCATGTTAGCTGGAATATACCAGTGGCTGGATGCAAAATGTATGAACTCTGGGTCACTAAGGCTCAGGCTGGCTAAGGCCAAATTAATGACACGTTATTTGGCTTCTGAATTTCTAATGTGATAGTGGCTCAGAAAGAACATGACACAAGGGACACCGTAGTGACAGTGTTTTGCCGTTTGTTTTTTTCTTTTAAACAACTATTTTAGGCAACTGAAAATACAAAGACCTTTTTTCTCTCCACCACGCAATTTCACAGCCAAATTGGCCATGGTACTTCAGGTAGTTACATTCTGCCTCTCTAAACTGTTATAGTTTCAGCAGAATGCAGAATTTTTCACTGGAACACAGTTATGCAGCTACTGGAAAGCTCTTGCTGATTGACTGCTACTGCAATGGATCCGAACCTAAAATGTAGGCACTCTCATGTAAGTCTGTTGCTCAGTCAGGGTCCTAAATCTCTTTGGGACCCTGCAGTTGAAAAATACAAAATCAGTATCTTGCATTTTCACATCAAAGTTAATGCTAATCTTATACCGTTCTGTAAATTTATCACACTGCTCTCAAGTTAATTCCACATGCATGTTTAGTCAGGAAACCTTAATGAGACAAGAGTTATACATAGAACGCAACCACTGTGGAGCCTCTGCCACTAAGCCAAAACGTAGAAAATACATCTTGGTAAGTTACAAAATTACATTTGCCATCAGTGTCTCACAAATACTTACGGTTGTTAATCACAAGTCCTGGAAATGGTCTGGGGAAAAAAAAAGTTTAAAAAATTACTGATTCTAAAATATACTGCATGGGGTCTCCCTGCCAAGACAACCTCACCTAACCTTTTGTAACAGAGCTCATGCTAAAAAAATAAACGGAAAGTCAAACAAAACAGAAGGAACTGTCACAGCAGCTCTGGGGCGCCATGGTTTCTTCGCTAGCATTTTTGAAAAGTAACATACATAGAAAGATCTAAATCCTTCCCTAGGTCACCAGTAATTAACAAGGAAGTCATCTTTTCTTCAGAGCTCAATCCAACAAACATATCAAACAAGAGTCCTTGCAGTCAGAACACTTCACGATTAAGGGCTGAGAATTCAGACCCCTTCGTAATAATATATTTTAGAAATTTCTCTCTCTAAACTGAAGCTTCTAGACCCCCGTGAAGCAGTCTACGATTTGAGAAGTTTTATCGACTGATAACATTTTTAATTTCAATTCCTGAACTCCTTCTTAGCAGGATTCCAAAGTTTCAGCTGTTCTGCTTCATGCATACAAATACACTTAGTACATATGTGTGTGTACATACGTCTATGAAAATATGCACATAGAAATAAAATTCACTTATATTGCAAATGGACAATATTGTATATTTAAATATCATAGATAAACTCATTTAAAAAACAAACATTTATCATGGAGCTTACCTTAACTCAGGATTCTTAACACAACTGAAATATTTAAAAAATATTAATAGTAATACTACTACAAACATACTATTTACTGTTCAGAGCCAAGAAGCTCTGGACATGTCTGAAAACTTGATCTCATAAATGGGAAAGCAAGGCCCACAACACTTCAGGACTCTGTCATATAATATGAATAGATTTCAATTCAAAAGACATCTTGCTGCAATATCCAGTATTAATAATATGCCCTTTGTCACACTAAATCGGACGTGTCCTGCAAAGAGTGACCATCTTCATTCATGCTATGAACATGTGGGCTTCATTTGATCAGACTGTTAACCAAAAGAGCCAACATCTTCCACTACTTAAAGACGCACTGCAACTTCTGTTCTTTCAAACCCCAATTTATCCAAGCTACAGAGCTGTCCTTGCAACATCGGTACAGTCTAATCAATGGCAACCACATACCGAATGACAGTAAATTTGATAAACTCTGCTGATTCCAAAATCTTCCTCATCGAGCTGATTTCCAGATAACTGGGAGCTTTAAACGCCACGCCAGGAGGCATCCCATCCACCACCACACAGCCAGGGTTGATAGTGATTTTTCGGTATGGGACTTTCACAGGAAAATTCATACCAATGGCTTCACCTAAGTGAGAGAGGTCATGTTTACTTTCAAGTCTACATATTTATGATTACATTGAAGAAAAAAAATCCTCAGATGATTAAGAAACTAAATTGCAAACCCAAGCTTTCTATCAGATCTGAAACTATTGAAAATTCACTTGACAATGAAACCATTAGAGCGTTAGAAATAGATGTTTTGGATTACATTCATGAACTTTACTGTGATAGTGGTAGTTACAAGTCCGACTCTGACAGCTCACCATATAAAGAACTCAGATTCTGTTTTTACTACAAAAAGGTATAGAACAGGATATCTAAGGAAATGGCTACATGAAGAAAAACCAAAGTGTTTCCTGCAATGCCATGAAAAGCAATTCAACACAGCACTAGTGAAGGAATTACAGATAAAGAAACTCATTATTGCTGTACAATGCAACTACAAAGTCAAAAAAAGAAAACTGTACACAGCAAAAAGGGTAAGTTGCATTTTTAAAATTACTCTAGTCCCAAGTATTAAGAAGGCAGGATTATGAAGCCCTAAGAAGAATCGTGGATTGCCAGCAAAATAAATGTTTACAGAGAAAGGAACAGGAAGGGGCAGGGGGGTGGGGATACAAAGCAATCAAATACTCTCAGGATTTTTTGTTTAAAACACCAAACAGCCTACATCCCTTATAAAAGATTCTTTTAGAGTCAAATTTGTTCATTTTAGTGATTATACAGATCATCCACTACGATGATTCAGTAACTTCAATATGAACAACATGAACTGCATTCACACCTATGTAAAAATGGGGAGTAAAAGCAATTACCAAATTTTCGGCTAAAAAGATCATTTACTTGCTCTCTCAATTGTCTGGCCTTTTCTACTTTTGACAGCCGCTCACTTTCATCATCTGGAAAAAAAATGTTAGAACAGCATTAGAATTAAGCGGATTCCCCCGCCTGCCCCCCCCCTGCAGCTTGTTTATCAGTGCATGTTTACTCAAAGCAGGTATACCCAAGCACTTCAAAACAGGTCTTTGTTCCTAGTTCTAGCAGCAACACAGAATTGTGGAAGTATGCAAAAATAGATGGCTGTTAAGAAATCCGTGAGAAACTTCAAAGTATTTATATAACCAACATTAGATTTACTATCAGAGATTATTTTGTAAACTTAATGTAAACCCACAAATTATATTTTATTTTCTTATAGTACATATAATGGTGGGGAAAAGTAAAAGCAAAACGACCATTCAATAGATGACCACAGCATGCAATGCTCCTCAGGGTTTCTAATGAATGTAATACATGCCTGAGAGAGTAGTAATCAGTGTTAAGACAAAGCAATTCAGTCTGCATGGTTATTCAATTCAGTCCGAGCACTGATCTCCTGAAGTAGCCAAGAAAATTGCAAATCAATATTTAATTTATTGCATGAGAAAAAAGGGAAAAACGTGGATACTCCTTAACTAGGGGCTGGATCAAGATATTCATGTGTGTTAGAAACTATTTAACATCTCAGCAAAACCAGAATGCTGAATTATGCTCTTTGTCGATTGTATCTGTATTTCAGTAATCCAGCTTGACTTCAGGAAAAAATCTTCAGACCAAACAAATGTCATGAAGAATATAAGCACAAAAAGCAGGATGTGAAGCCAGACAGTATACACACCTGGTATAGTTACTTGAATGATGTTAAGATCTTCAACACCTGCAGCTGTGTTCACCACTGTGTTTGTTGTGGTGCTTGTTGTATTGGCTATATTAGATAAGTTATTTTTTCCTAAAAGTGAGAGAATTAATTTTAAAAGCATTTGTAGAGAGCCCAAAATCTTGACTGTCATATATAAAGAAAATACTGCAGAATAACAGAAATTTGCCAAGTTTTCAAAGTAGACCCAGTTCCATTTTCAAAATGGGAGCAGCTTCCAATGAGACACACTTACTGAAGGCACACACTACTCTGTCATTCCGACCTAAGATGAGAAAGAGCTAGATTAAAAATAATGTTAATCTTTACCTAGCTGGTTTTCTAAAAAGATTATTAAGGAAAAAAAAAAAAAGTGTATGTGGAGCATGTATTTTGATATTTTTAGTAACAGAAAAATCAGAGCACTTGCAGTTAATTCAGTAACAGCTACTATCCATGGGTTCACTTATGCATTCACAAAAGAAACCCCTTGCAGTTCTATTTGTGAGCCGTACAGTCCAGCGGCACAAACTAGCATAGTTTGAGTAGCTCAGCAGAGTTTTGCCAACCCATAGTAACAGGTAATAATATAACTCAAAACATTTAATCCATGACCTGCTTGACGCAATTTTCTACTGGCTATCTGCATTACTATCTGTGGAGCACTTGTCATTTAGATAACCTATGTATTAGGGGCAAATAGCTTACCTCCAGTTAAATTACTTCTGTGAATCACACATTACTTGTTACATTTTGACAAAGGGTAATGAAGAGTATATTAGAGGCATAATTATTGTGAATAACTTAAAAAACCCTTAATACTCCCCTGATAAAGATGTATTTCACCCGTAACTGATCAGTGCTTTTCCCACCTTAAAAAACAACATGCAAACAAACCAACCAACCCCAATGTAGAATGAATCTTTCAGGAATTTAACACCATGCAGCTCTCTTGATTGTATTTAATCCTTGAAAGAGACTGTTATCTAGAACATTAAGCAGTTGCAAAACTCACTTTGGGGGCTTCTAGCAGAACTTTCCTTAACAGCTGCCTCAAACATCTCAGGCCTGCAAACAGATCGAACATTTCATGTATAATAATAAAATTATATTAACAAACATTGAAGAAAATGCAATTTTCCAATATTAACTTATCAAACACAGGAACTAAGTGATATCCTTTCAGCCAGACAGCCAAGAACGCAACGGCTGAGAGGCTCCACAACTTCTCTTGCCACTGTTTCTACACTGGCACATGGGTATCTAAACCTATTCTAGGCAAGAAAACCAAATTATTACAATCCCCAATATATGAATCTCCACTTCTCAGCTCTCAGTACCCTGCCAGCAAGCTTTATGAATAACCCATAAGTGCTCCACGCAGCAGGAACTAAGCCAGTGACGTGATAACTGAAACAGGCTAAGACATCTGGACTGGCTCTTCCTCCCAAAACAGGCTGTGAGTGTCTTTCAGAACCAAGAGATTACTGTATCTCGCTCCACCTCCACCAGAGCCTTCTGACGATTTCCTCATTTACTAAAAACATTCCAGTATGTATTTTACAGAGTAATTTAGCAACTCAGCAACACAATTCCATTTTTTGGTCTACATTTCAAGTCTCATAGAATAGATTATCAAAGACATACGACAGTCTTACTTTTTAATAATGAATTTTATCTTAGATCTGTTTCTCAGGATCTTCTCTAGTCTTGGAATTCCGAAAGTAGAAGGTCGGCGGAATGGCACCCCCTCTGGTAGTCCTTCCACATAGAAAACCTCTGGGAAGGATTCGAACAATGCAAACGGCACCTTCACTGGTTCAGTCAGTCCCAGGGCTTCCCCTGAAATGCAACAGGGCAAATAAGCTACCAGCTAGATAACTGATGTGTATCTAAAACCTCAGGTATAGACAGTATTCAGTAGCTGGCACATAAGATTGGGTGGAACCAGAAGGCTTTGCCTTTTTTGGAGACAGCTGTGAGTAGGCAGGAAGAAAAATGACAACAGCCTCAAACAGAACTCACTCTGTTGCAGTAAATGTGATCGTAATTTGCAGCTGAAAATTAGCAATTTGCAGCCAGCTCATGCCACAGCCTTGGTCTGCATACAAGACTATGCCAGTGGTACTTCACTTCGTTACAGGCAATGCACTCCGTGCCTGTCTCTTCTAGAGAATAGCACCAAAGGGCAGGTGAGATTAGTGCTCTTGTTCCAAAAACCACACTCAGAAGAGTAATGAGAAGTCATTACTCCCAAAACTCATTAGCTTCCTAACTGCCTGCACTAGAAGCAGCGCTGGGATACGATGGAGCCTGTCTCTCCGGATACCGTCCATAACGTACCAAGTCATGCACAGGCTGGTACGAAGTCTCATTCATAAGCAGAGTGAAGAAAGCTCGAAAAGATGTGCCAGGATGTGAAGTCACTATGTCTCTGTGTCATTAAAGTAGTAATAATCCAACCACAACTTCTCCATTTCCAAACCCAAATAAAACAACTAGTGGAAACGTGACACAGAACTGCAAGGAACCTTCATGAGAATAAACTCAAATGAGAAACTGCCTAGGGTACACAAGGGCTGCAGGACCTTTGGACCAAACACGTGAACACATCTCTCGTACATCTAACTGCATGTTCATAAGAAAGACATCTCAGCAAAAAAGAATCAATAAACTTACCACATTTTTCATTAAAAAGATTTTCAACTTTCTGCTTTAAGTCAGTAATTTTGGCATTCCACGCCTCTGCCAGGAAGAAATTGGAAGAATTAAATCAACACTCACCCAATGAATCAGACCCTGAAGAATATTTCAATAAATGTTTAATAAATTATTATGCTTGATAACCAATTCACTGTGACAGTAAAATACACAAAACTGCTTTCATTCTGCAAATGGCACTGAAACACTTTGCTGCAGTCTAAACTTACATCCACATCAACCCTCATTTTCCTAAAGCTTTGGAAGATACTGCTACTAGATAAAGCAAAGGCAATTAAAATTAATCCACAAATGATCCAAATTTATAGCATCAGGCAGCATAAAATTTACTCATCCGAACCAGCACCCAAAGTAGGGGCAGCAAGTTCTTCACATGTTCAGTGACACAGCCCTGAAACACATGCCTCCCTCTTGAGAATGATAAACTCTATCACAGTTTCAACTGCAGAGGGTAAGGTTAGATGTGCGCCTAGCTAGGCACTGTGATTCTGACTGCCATCAGCAGCAATCCCCAAACCGTTTCACTTGTGGCTGCAGTAAGTGGTCTGTAGCTGGCCTACAAAACTAAAAACTCAGTTGAAAGTTTAAAAAAGTTACAGACTTTATTTAAAAAAGCCTAGGTCTGACAATAACAAGCAAGTCCAAGAAAACCGCACACAACCGAATACGAATTCGGCCCACGCCAAAAGGAGCAGTCATACCAAATCCGTATCTTATATTCATTCTAAACTGGCTCAGTAGGAGTAAAGAATTACTTTGGTTCACGTTTTGTGACCATATGGCTAAAAAGAAAGCATGGGGGATGATTAAAATAAAGCAAACAACAAAGAACTCCTATATAAGTATGAGCAAATAAACCCAGATGTAAGGATGCTGAAAAAAAAAAGGTTTCATGAAACCTGGGAGCTGGTTACAGTTCCTCTGAATACAGTCATTCACCTCACTTAATGTAAGGAATTTATCTGGGCTGCGAACTGACTCTGCTTTGAACACAACAATGTCTGTGCTAGAGCACTGCACAGACCGGTCTGGTCCTCCAGGGCCAAAAAGCCGATGAACACTACTACACTGCTTCCAGTCCTGTCCGGCTTGTCCTCTGCTGATTTTCCAGAACTGGAGAGGCCTATAACGGCGATCCCACAAAATCAGCTCCGATACAGCATGGTGTACTAATGTTAGCTCCAATCCTTCCCAGCTCCTGCACACCACTTGGGTACCTCTGCACAGTTACGCTCAACGTTTCAAGTCTGTGCAGCGCTTGATAAGATCCCAGCTGGGCTTATGCACTGCGGTGGTACCGGGCACCAGGCAAGTCCTTCAAGGGTCTGCAGCGCTGAAATAACAGAGTAGCAAAAGTCTAAAGGGACTGATTCTGAACTCAAATTAATAAGATCTAATGGACCTGTACTGCATTTGTACAGCATTCTCCATATGTCATCCAGGATTTCTCTGATATAGATTATTCTACATCATAAAAAACTAAATGTACATGAAAGCAAGAACTTCAGTCATTCACTAACTGTAGAATAAAACATGAATTCAAAATATCTCTGATACGTTATCACCAGATTTTTCAATACCAACATTAACAGAACACACGTCTGCTGATTCCCACAACATTTACCAAAAGAAAACTCTCTTCCTCGCGGCTTGAAACTCATATTGGACCCATTGGTTTGAGAATTAGTTCGAACATCTGTTGTTTGTGGTTTATTAGGACCTGTAAAAAGACATTAGATATACACATGCAGAGAGCAGAAGCAAGCCATCATAGGAAAAGAACAACACACTAATTACTAGATTACTAGAGAAAACTTCTGAATCAAGAGTGGAATCAAAAAACCCTTAAAAAGTTTTTCTAGGGTTGTATTTAAGCATTTGATACTACTGATCACTACAGTCATTTCTCTGGCCTGCATCAGTTCCCTCATCTCTGCTTGGAATAAAAGGTTCAAGCAAGCTGTCAAACTCCAACATTTTACACAGCTATCATCTGCACAGAACCCAGTATCATTCAGAAATGAAAAATAAAATTGTTTCTATATTAAAGCGTATCTGAAGCCCTGAAATGAAACTGAGTTTGCTACGTGAGGTGCCTGTATAAATTAATTACGGGCTATGAAAACTGAGAACAGAAAACATTAGAACAATAGAAGAGCGTTAGAAGAACAGTATTTCTTCCATACCTTCTTCAACAGTAACTTCAATCTCTGGGACCTTTGAATCGCCTGCAGGACTTCGTGACCTTTTTGAACTCTTTGGGCTCATTGCTGGAAGTCAATGTAATACAAGGTGTAATGCACAAACCCTCTTTAATGTGTATCCTGCACAGCTAATGAAAAAACAGCTGTATTCTGAAAATTCCAACAGACTGAAGAATCACTTCAGTCTGCAGTAAGTGCAGCCTGCATTGTAAAACCTGAACAATACCGTGGCACTCACAGACTTATAAAGTAAATTTAGTTCTCTTCAAAATGGCAGGTTATCACGCCTAAATTTTCACTCCACTAACTCAGAACAGAAGACTTCATTGTTTCTAAGTGTGAGGGACAGCTTTGGTACTTTTTATTATCTAAATAACAAAATTATTAACATCTGAATTTTTTACAGGCAAACTTAAAAGACTTTTTTATTCTTTTCTTACAAAACTTCATTGTTATTTACTTCAGTTCACAGCTGTAAGTTAACTATGGTTTAGGCCATTAATAGCAAAATAAAAGTTGTCGAAATCGGGTTAATTCCATTTTCTCCAGTGGAACAGTCTTAAGTAAAAAAAAAAAAAAAAAAAAAAAAAAAAAAGTAGACAAATTTATGTTTTGAGTACCTTTTCCAAATAAAAGCAGATTTAGAGGCAATAATGCTAGATCATCTTAAATAATGCCTTTTGTTTGCAACACCTGTATTTTTCAACCACAAAGATCTCGCAGTTTGCTAAGGAAGCAGAAAGTATTTATTAATTGATGGCAGCAAATAATACTTAATTGTTTACCTTTAGTGTTTATTTTACTAGCCAGTCCTGGAGGCAAATAGGAAGTGACAAGCTCAGGCCTAAAAGTTGAACAGAACAGAATCCAATCAATTACCCACACAAGAAAAATAATACAGCAAAATGTTACAAAGTTATTGGAATTCAGTTGGGTTCCAATCTCCATAACATCAGCTCTCTATAACAACATTCTGCCAGAAGCATGGGTGACTCTCCATCTACTATAACCACAAAAAGTTAGAAAACATAAAGCTACATTTTCTACTCTGCCATTTTCTTCTGGGTTTATTTCAAGCAAAAAAAATAAAGAAAAAGAAGGAAAAGGAAGGAAAAAAGCTTCCACATATGAGCTCATTTTTTCTCCTAGATCCTCGATGCATGAAACACGCAATTTACACATCTGTATCAATCTAATAAGGAAGGTATATCCTTGTATGAGATACAACGTACGTGCAAAACATTCCTTCTGTTTCATGAAACAGAATTGAGGTAGCATTTAAAGCCTAAAGTTGCTGGGAAGAAAATCAAATAACTACAAAAGCAGCAGTAAAAATAACTGAATTGCAAACATACTTTTTAACAACAAATTTGATTTTGCCACTCCCACGGACAATTCTTTCAAGGCGTGGAATTCCAAACCACGTCGGACTCCGGAAGGGGATTCCTTCTGGCAAGCCTTCGACGTACAAGTACTCAGGGTTCGACTCAAACACAGGATAGGGAACTTTCACTGCCTCTGAAAGCCCCAGAGCTTGGGCTGAAAATAAAAGATTTAATGATAGTTTACACAATCAAATGGGTGGCATTTTATCTCAATTGATTTTAAGAAGCTTGGCTTACAGAAGCTCTGCTACTCAGAGATAAAAACCCCACCCAATATTTAAATAGATTTTCTATTATTTTCTGTAGAATAACTGCAATGGGGACTTACTTGGTCCATCTTGTTACAGAGAGCACCTAAGCCTGCAGTGCCTAATATTTTCTTCTAAGAATTTTTTCATTCAAAAGCTTTTTGTGCACTTATTAGCTCCTGTCACACAACCGGATAAACTACGGCCTAGGATGTTGTTATAAAGTCATTTCTCCCAGTTATTGTGAAAAGTCAGTAAAAAGTAGGTAAGAGGAGTCAAGATTTCCGTATCTGTCCTAGTACCTTTCTGATGTTTAAGTACAGTAAAATTTACAACTCTTTTTACAGATGATTTTTAAAATGCAGGAGCATTATAAAACAGTTCATTTAACATTTAACTTACCAAACTTCATATTAAATATCTCTTCTACTTGCTTTCTTAGTTTCGTGATCCTGATGTTCCAATCTTCTTTCCCTGAAAACCAGAAATGGATCTATGTCAGAGTATTACCCAGTTCTAGATAAAAAGGGACATTCAAACACGTTTCTTTCAACACAAGAACTTGTAAACTACCAACACAATCACATCTGAGTAGACAAGGACACAATACGACTCATGACTACTAATGGCAGCTTAAATGACAACATAATTCCCTCTACATAATGGAAAATCTGTTTAAATGTCGTTACAAATTTCAAACATTGGCCCAAGCGGGAGAACTTGTTCTTCAGAGCCTTCAGATGCAGGAAGGAATTATTCTAGTGGCTTTTATAGAGTTGGAATTAATTAATCATAGTGCATAAGAATAACACACTTCAGAAAAGAAGATGAGGATTTAAAGGGTGCTTTGCTAAACATTTTGATTAGCATATAAAAAAATAATCTTTGGTCCTGTTCTCTATTGTAATTAAAAGACAATTATAGGAGTGCTAGCCAGAGCAGACAATTTGTAGCTTAGGTAGAGAAGAAAGCAAAGGACAGTAGTAGCAATAAAAAGCACTTCTTTTCGAACAAACGGCATCATAATTCATTACTTTTCATCAGAACCCACAAATAACAATTAACTGCTACTAAGCTAAAACCATTCAGGGTTGTAGAAAGCCTGCATGAAGAAAGGTATACAGAAATTTTTTGTTTCCGAATCATATTTTTGACTAACAAATTACCTGACCTTCTTTATTTCTAGCTTTTTATATTTTGCAATCAGCCTACTTATTTGATAGATTTCACAGGTATTTAACCCTTGCACATGTGTTTATTATACTCATTCACATGTTGTAGTCTTACTGGCAAAGGAATTAGACTCACTAATTCACAGACTATCTGTTGAGGGCACAAGGTTAGTACTGTGCAGTAGAATAATATTTTGCTTTAAAAAATGTCTAATATTCTTCAGCAACGTAAAGTTTACATCTGCAGTAAGAAGATCCTTGGCCTTTGCTTGGGAAAATGGTTTTCACCAGGCTCTGAGTCCAGGAGAATATTTGCTGTGTTTGCCAGTTTGACATCAAACCCTGGGCCCTGGTAAGCTTTGTGGGCACCAGTAATACCAGACTCACCTATAAGCTAGTGAAAAATACAGTGAAATAACTAGTACAAAAAAGAAATGTTATTCTGAAACGGTCAAACAGTCTGAGTTTGAGGAATCATGACCACTGCATGTCAGTTCTTTCAGAAAGATGATTTGATTAGCTAGTTTTTTACTGCTATCGTTGGCACCTGCCGTTATTACTTCATCATCAAATTGTCAGTTACATCGTCAAATCTGACAACAATCAGCTTTGGCAACAAAACAAAACAAAACCAAACAAAAAATGAAGCTGCCTTTTCCTTCTGCTCCACAGTGAACACAGTCTTTTCTCCTGAGCTACCCTCCTGGTGAATATGAGCCTCTTCCTAAAATCCAGTCAAAATCCACAATACGTGGTGATGATGTTAGTCAATTACTGATTACACAATTATTAAATCATATTTCTTTCCTTTTATTTTTCCCCCTGCAGAGAGCTCTACACAATTATTTCCTAAAGCTGAGGTTTGTTTATCCAGTGAAATGTGTGTGGGAAAAACCTAGGAAGCTTTGGATCTTGGTTTGTGTTATTACTACAAGCAGACTCGTACTGCTAGAAAAACCTAACAAGATCTAGACTGTAGACTTCTGTAGCAAAAAGTATCGATACACTCCAACTGAGAGCACCCAGAAATAAAAACCAATCTGATTCTCCTCCTGTGTTAAAGGCACTTCATGCTTTGAAGAAGCCATTACAATTCCTTACCAACAGAGGCCTCAAAAAAGCCCAGAGTCAGCTGTGAAATGCTAAGGAGCTCCAGAGCTTTGATTCAGGCCAGGATAGTAACTCCACTTCTCCCAGGCTGTGAAGGTGATCCGTTCTACTTAGCCAAAGACAGCTGGACTGTACCAGGATCCAGAAAGCCATCCACGGACATAATGACCAATTTACTCTTTTCAGACCTCAGGAACAGCATGTCAGCACGCTCAACACCGAAGGGTGGCTTCTTGAAAAATGTTGCATTGATCCAAACGTGCTTCCCCACCAAACCCTTCCACTCCCACTTGGAGACAGCTCTCATCTTACCTGAGGTGTTCGTCCTGGGTTGAATAACTTCAGGTGAAGTCAGAGTTAGCAGCTCTGGCCTGCAATCAGAAAACAAATAATCTGCCCATTCTTGATGTCAATCAAATACTACTACTTAGTAGGATATGAATTGAAAAGTTTGGATTTTTCTATCATGTATTTCACACTTGTGAACATGCTACAACATATTTTGGAAGACTTGTCTGGATTGCAAATACCCACTTTATAATGCAGAATATTTAATCTGCCTACTTGGTAACTAGAGACCAAAGGTTTCATTAAGCCATGAAGTAAAGTGCCTGATTACAAAGAGGGCGTTTGTTTGGCCTCTTTCTTAAAAGAAAAAAAAAAAAAAAGTTTAGGCATTACAAGAAACACTTACCTTTTGATTACAAATTTTATTCTGTTGCCCACTTGAATTATTTTTTCAAGGCGAGGGATTCCATACCAGGAGGGACTCCTAAAGGGGATGTTCTCCGGCAGCCCTTCAACGTAGAGGTCAGTAGGATGAGCCTCAAATTTCTGGTATGGAACAGCTTTAGGCTCAGTGCTCCCCAAGGCCTCGGCTGTTAGAACAAAATACATCCCGTAACTGGACAGCCTGGCCATCAACCTTTACTAAAAGCCAGCTAAGCTACCAGTTCTTCAGGCTGTTGCAATTCTGACCTTAGAACCTGGGACAATGCAGGATACCTAAACCCAGAGTCCAAGTCTCAGCACAGCAAAACCATAAATATTTGGTTCTATCCAAAGGTTTAAATCTATTATAGAGCATCATGCAACATTTTATTCTAGTTCTTGTAAGTTGACTCTTTTTTTTTATATTGGAGAGAACATAAAAATTCACCCAGAAATGTTCTAATACTAATTTTAATGATACTGCAATGGATATACATAAGTAAACTGTTGTTTTATTCACCATCAAAGGAAAAAAAAAAACCCAAATAGGAAGGAATTGAGAAAGATTAGAAGAGCTGTACATACAAGACTTGCAATTTTTTTTAACTGTGAATTTATCTTCTTGTATAACCAG